CTTGATTATATAAAATGAGTACGAATGCACAAAGTAGAGTCGTATACGTTGACATAATAGACATAAGATAATTTTTTATTTCGAATATTTCGAGCACGCCTGTGCTCTTCCTCAGCGATAATACGTAATACGTATATATATATACATATATATATACAGTATATACATATATATACATATATATATATTTATATATAAAATTTATACATATTTATTTACATTACAAATGAAATCATATAACAAATATATGTTTTATTATCCATTTATTCTTTTATTTTATAAACATGATCAGCAGCCAGTGCAGACTATTCGAAGTTACTGGTTTCATGAAGTTGGTGAACACACGTAAAATGGTGAACTGCGCTTCAGCGTACGTGTTTGTACCTAGAAACAGCTAGTCATTTATTTTAGCATCTGACCTACTTCTGTCTTTGCAATAATGTAACAAAAATGGAAATAAAACAAAAAAGAAATCACAAACCTTGTGTCATTATCGCCTTAAGAGTACCATGGCAATAGATATGTGGAAACGTTTCTTTCCACAATTATACCCCAGTTATACAACTAAAGAAATATGCCTAGCAAGTTGAGTGATTTTCTGGGGCTTATGAATATAACAGAAGCATGAAAAGGCCGTTAAAATGTACCGCATGCAATTATCAATATATTGATAATTTTATATGGAAAATATAAATATGAAAATACATATTTCCTTTACAATATTATTATAACATGATCAGAACATTTATGGTAAATGGAAACGTAACAGACAAGAAAAAAAAACCTATGCGAAACTAAATCTATTAATTATACTTATTCCATAGATTTTTATTTGATTCAAGCATTAATAAAAATTATACCAATATATATAGCAAGAAACAAAAAAACATGTATCGCAAACTCGGTCAACTTCGTAACATCTGCGTTGTTTCTGTAAATAAAAGAAAAATAGCACCAAGTTATACAGTAATATAGTAACAATAACAAACTTTAATACTAATAAAAATAACTGTTAATAAACTAATGCTACAGTAATCTAAATGACAAATTGGCTGGTTTTTCCTGATACAATATAAATAATAATAAATAAAAATAATAATATAATAATAATAATATATAACATCATATCATATTTTATTATTTATTTTATTTGCTGTATTTGTTATGTAGTAGAAATAATAATAATATATAACATCATATCATATTTTATTATTTATTTTATTTGCTGTATTTGTAATGTAGTAGAAAGCGTAGGATTCATAACAAAACGAAAATAAAAACCGTCCGATAATATTACAGTAATTGATAGTTTAGTAATAATAGTATTATTTTTATTTGCTTTTAAGTAGCCTGTTGTTACTTATTAGAAATACAACAAAACATAAATAAAAAAAGTATGATAAACCGATTGACGAACTTGCAATGGTAATTAGGCCTAGTAATATTGAATTTAGCGTTTCGAAACTCCATTGGCGCTCCATATATTTGTTGAAAACAAACCGCGACCGAAATGAAGCGCGACCGAAACGAAGCGCGACCGAAATGATCTGTATTCGTTTTTTATGGGGAATCAGAATACCGTATGTGAGGTAAAAGGGGTGTAACCTGAGAACTTTCGCGTGAGGACGCTTTTTCAAAATGGCCGCCAAAATCCAATAAACTACATATATATGGGTAAAATAAGCACAGAAGAGGTAGGTTTGACCAACTTTTGAACATGTAATGATAGGAGTAAAGTATAACTAGCTAAAGTTATTAATGTGAACATTTCGGGAGGCAATTGAGGGCGCTTTTTAAAATGGCTGCCAAAATTAAATACTTAAAAACTTAACAGTAGCTTCAATACCCTAGATAAATTTGTTTAATTTACAAAACATGAATGTAATAACTGCTGTTGACTTTTTAAACCTAAAACAACATATTTTAAGGGTGTAAGCTAACTCACTTTTGAAAATGTAAGTAAAAATTCCCCCTTATATTAGCCCTTTTCTGTTTTGAAGAATGGAAAATATCACCAGAATCTTAAAAAAAATTCCAGCTTCCTTACAAATATCCGGTTGGTTTTCATTATTTCTGTGTGCTATAAAAGGCATTCCAGACAACTACCACAATTTTCATGTATGAAGAAGGCATCAATTCATTTACTAAATATTTGTCTTGTAGTGTTTAATTATGTAGCCCTATGTTGAGCAATAATCTTCAGGTATCACTTTTATCACTGCAATCTGAAAGTCTTTGTATTTATCTTATGAACAATTCTTGGACTTCCACGGGAATTTGTTTATTCCATCTGTTCCATCAACTATTTTTATTGATGGTCATTTACCTCTGCTTATTTTCAATTTGAACGATTATGTTTGCTAAGTATCTGCAGAAGCTCGAGATTCTGCAAACATGGTGGCAACAATGATATGTCAGTGATCTTGTCTCTGCAAAACTTTCTATTGAACATGTTACTTGCTTGATTTATACTTTTCTCCTTAACTCCTAGCAGCAGTAAGACATATTCTTGTCCTTCAGACAAATTTTGTGACAGAACATCTAAAACTCCAAAGTTGCTGAAAGTTTCAACAAACACAGTTTGCGATTACAGAAGCTACGTTTTCCTTTACAAAAGATATCGATGTCCAAAAAAGGGAACGGATGATTGCTATGCCCTGGTTGCTATTCGTTAAAGCATGCTTTGCATACAGGAAGACTTTCGTGTCGGCTTCTTCTTGGTGGTTCTACACCAGATTGCAGAACCCCAGGTTGCCGACTGCTAGATTTTCGAGTTCACTTTGCCAAAACACAGTTTGCCGAATGCCAGTTTGCTGAATCAAAAACTACGAATCCCAGTTTGTTAAAACTCAGTTTGCGCTGAAACCCACTTTGTCGAAAATAAAATAAAAGCAGTATGTAAAACATTAACCACAGCATAACATTCATGTTGGAACACTCTCTTACTATGTATTCGTATAAGAAATAGCGGCTTATTGTAGTTAAATGATTCTTATTGTTTTAATAATATGTAAATCAATTTGCTATCAGCAAATAAAAGTCAATTTAATAGGCCTCGCAGTTAAAAGGTTTTATTAGCATACCTATGATAAATACATAAATTTATATAAAAACAAATAATAAAGAAGGAAATAAACAAATTAATAATAATCTACAATTATACACACATGCC